ACAGATCGATGCCCACAAGGGAACACGGAATGCTGTCACTTCAGATTTGGCTTCAAAACTGAACTCAGAATGCCTCTTTTGTGACAGACAGTCTTCATTTCCCACTCACCCCAGTGTGATTCAATTTTATCAGGGATACTTGCAATATCAAGAAACACACAAAGGAAAAACCTTTTGCAGATTTTCATTCATAGTGAGCAAGTTTAGGAGAAGATTCAAACCTCAACAGTTAAAAAACATGTAATTTGAAGCCTAAATAATCTAAAATTGTCACTTTATAACGTATGTTTCCATATCCAAAACTATCCTTCTATCCCTACTACTCTTAAAATTATCAAATTAATCTAATTTTATTCTCAGTGTTTAGGAGAATTTGGGAAGTAACAAATGCAAGACCGGTCTGTAGAAAGTGTAATATTTCATACACCTCCAGTGTCTCCTTGCTCTCAGGACATAGCATTAGAGTGGTTGTTTATATCTTCAATATCACATGTGAATTCCAGTAGTTATATCCATCCAAAGAAGATTATATCTACCTACTGGTCTTTAAGATAAACAGCAAAAGCATCCGTTAAGTCTCTAACCCTAGCTGGTATATGAAGTCCCTGCTGTCAAAGCTTCTTCTCAAGCTTCCTGGTTTCCATCTCCTCCTAAAGGTAAGGGGAATCTGTGAAGGGGGGATGCAGAGACCAGATAGAGAAAGTTGTCACCAGGTACAGAAAGTTGCTCCCATCTTCTGCTTCCAGCACTTCTCCATGAGTGGATCAAAAGGGGCTGGCCCGACTCACTACATGTCATACCAGAACATTACAACAGCGTTACCTCAAGATCTTGTTGCGTTAAAACAAACACAATCCCATCACACAAGATGCAAACATTTTCAAACTTGCTTTACAGATAGAAGAGTCAGTGTAGTAAGAATTTAACCTGTAAGTGTAACTGCATTGAACAAACACAAATCAGATGTAGATGTGGGAACAGAAGAACCCAGTCTCGGAAAACAAGCAAACAGAAGCCTCACCATAGCCAAGTGTTACAGTACTTGCCTAAAAGTACAGCCACATTGCTCTACACAAAAAAGTTCAGAACGCTTGCTGCAGGACACAAGTACATACATTCTAAAACACAGAACAGAAAGACTGCTGCCTCCCAAATTAGTCACTAGGCATTCCCTCCTCTTAATGTAACACAAATTCACCTATTTTGTATTTCCTGTGGGTCTGTCATGTAGCAGCGGTAGCTGATTTGTGCCAAGCAGTATTTTCAAAGACAACGAATCTGGCTTCAGCTTTAAAATTTGCTAGCCCAGACTGGGCAAACCTGCATGCTTATAGGAAAGACAAGAATAGCATGCCTGTGCAAAAGTGGTATAGAGGTAATATTTTAACATCATATGAGCCTCTAATTCCAATTTTCTTGGACAATGACTTAAGGAACAGGTGTAGCCCCAGCATTAAGTCAAAACCCAACTCTAAAAATCTTAAAGACAGTACAGCTCAAGCCAGTGAAATATAAATTTGCTCATGGCAACATGGGAAGAAAATCTTTGTGATGTAGAAACAGATGTCACTGCACATTTTTCAGAATATGGCATTACCCACTGCTTTGTATGCATGGCCTCACTGGATAGATTTAAATTATATTTCATAAACACCCTCTATTAACTTCTTTATTCCAACTATATCAAAGTAAAGTAGGAATAGCACAGGCTTTATTAAAAGTTTCTATTTACATGAAAACTTACAGTAACCAATCACTCTAACTTAGGAAGACCAGCCAAAACAAAAAAATTATGTTTCATTATATTAAAAAGCCTCAATTACAGAAAGCCTGACACAGCCAAGATGTAATTATGATCAACATCAGACAGACAGGCATAAAAAGTGAAAAGTGCAGTTAGAACATTCAGTGTGTCAAGCACAGTGAATGTGATACCAGCTGCACAGTACTTTAATATAATTAAACTGCACTTCTTCTATAATGTAAGTTAAATGATGGGCAAGAGTGAAGTTAACTATCTGTTTTCCGGCACAGGAACACAAGCATTGCAAGGTTATTTTTAAATCTTTTTAGAAAGCACAAGTAGCATGTCAGCAGTGCCAAAAAAAGTGCTGGTTGTATCTCACGGGGGAGCATCCCCTTTCACTTTAGTGTTATGACCTGTGTGCACAAACCAAGCAGTATCTAATTATTTTTGTATTACAGTAAAAATCCAATGGATTTGAAAATGAGACCTAATTCTCTTGTATAGACAGAGGCAGGTTTAGGCAAAAGACAAGAAAATGCTTTACCCTGTGATGTACCCACACTGCCTTTTCCCTGACTCCTCTATGGTCTTCTATTTGTGGCAGTAAAATCCTGCTGAGTTTAATTAAGGCACAGAATTCACTTCCTTTAGTTTCATTTTAATTACAAGAGAAATAAGAAAAGAATAAGTGTATATTCTTGACGAGGGATATTAGCTACTTTGAACTGGTTAACTGAAGTAACCAGGAGTATTATAGCCATGATGTTGTGGGTATTTTTATTCCTGTAGCTTTTTGCCCAGTTTCTTCAAATTTCTATTTTGAAGTCAGATCCAAGGTTTATTCTACCATAAATGCTCACTTTAATGAGCTGGTGACTGGTCTGGAAGCATAGTCTAGAAGAGTAAAGCACACTTAACAACCTCATATTCCCCTCCATCCCCAACTGGATTACCTGTCTGTCTGGAGGAATGGTGGGGCTACACGTTGCAGCCATGAGCTGTGGCAGCAGTTTTTGAGGACCAAGCCAGCCAGCTTCATTGTAGCCTGGATAATCAGACCTGTGAAGCCACAGCACTTGAAACAGGCTTACTGCCAAAGGGACATATCCCGCTTTTTGGGTCATAAAGCAAGCATTGAGGTCTGTGCAGCTGCTGCTATGTTGGTAAAGGTCTCAAGCTACAGCTCATTTAAACCTGACTTTTATGAATCTCTATACACCTCCAGACTCCAAGAAAAAGTCACCTGAATTAAAAGTGCAATGGCCTCCAATTATAGGAAAGAAAGTCAAGCCATTAATTTTATTGCCACTGATATTCCAAGATATAAACATAAGTCCAAATATTGCCACAAATGAAGTCACAACCTGGGTGGCCCAGAGTCATTCACATACGCTCCAGCTTACCTTGATTTAAATCTTACAGCTTGCTTAGTTTTTTCTTACCTACATTCAGTTTTAAAATGTCCGGGTTATAAAAAAAGGCTAAATATATGTAAACCAGAGATGGGATTAACATTTTCCACTACAAAAAGATATTAGAAACTATAGATCTAGAATGTTTTACATAGGAACTACATAAATGCTATGACAAAAGAGAAAAGTATCCTCTCTTGTGAATTATGAGCTACGTTAATGGGATTCTCCAGGAGAGAATCTAGTCCTGTACTAGAATGGTAAGGAATATTTATCAGAAGTTCTTAAAAGTTTGCAAAAACTTATCAAATTATATTCATTTTCTAGGCTAGATCTTGTCATGTGTAAGAGGCAGTATAGAGGTCTGCAACTCAAAGAGGACTAGTACAGGGATAGCTCTATGAATCAAGTCTGCTTTTTTTGCTTACAGTTAGGATATTATTGTCTATCATCTGTCAGTCACAATAGAAACTGGAAGGGAAGGGACAGAATCAAACTCCTTTCACTCAATTCCTGTATCTGTCCACAGGTGACAACTCTATTGAATAAACAGCAGATCCCATTTTAGGCCCCTGTAGTCTAAACTATAACCAAAAATTAAAATATACACATTGTGAATAACGTGTCTGTATGCCCCTTCCCCATTTATTCCTAAACAGAAAAAAATACCTTGGTCTATAAACTGAAAGAATCCAGACACTATGTCTAAAATATTCCACACATTTCCATTAAAGAGCACAGTGAGGAGACAGATCCAACCTATTTGCTCACAAAGGTCCAAAATTTGAGCAAACATATGAACTATTTTCTGCCTGAAAAAAATTAGAAGTCCTCTAAATATAAAACTTTACATATGTAAGCAGTTCAAAGACAGTCTCGAGTTTCATGTTATGCCTTTAATTTCCTTCTTATGGATAATGAATGCATATATAGTCAGGACATGAACTTGCACAGTCTTTAATCGTACTGGGGACCAATTACAGATATGTAAAGAGCAATTCAGCTAATTAAATACAGGTGTCAAGGGCCATTTTTGATGCCCAAGAGAAAACTATCAGCTGGACTCCTGCTGCTGCACAAGAAAAACACAGATCTCCCATAAGTCCTATGATATCTTCTAGCTCTGTAAGGCTGTCTTAGATCACCTGGAGCAAATAAAATGGTACTCAAGGTCTATATTTGGCAGTTAAATCACTCAGATAATCCCACTGACCTCCATATATCATCTCAAGTGAGTAACTGCTTCTCAGCATAAGAAGCTGACAGTGTAACCAAAAATGTACAACACCGGAACCCAAAGTGGTTCACCCTTCGCAGTGACACAGAAGATTTTGGACCCTTACAAATCAATAACAGCAGCAGCCACAGGAGAACTGTGGGTATCACCATGCAAGAGGTTAAAATGAAATATGATTATCTCTCCCAATCATCAGGTTACGGGCTCTATTACCATTCTGGTTTGGGCATAGAAGTAAAATATTATCAGAAACATATTTCTGAAAAATTATTCACAGTGGTGTTATCTCAGTCTATTGCATATGTTCTCTGCCATCAAAAAGCACACAAGAGTAATCTTTTATTTGCCAGAATACCTGTGCTGATTCATGTAACCAATTAAACAATAGCAAAGTGTCCATCTTAAGTGCATGGTTCTCTTCCTCTCTTCTCCGATATAAAAAACCAAAAAATAATGTACATTGTAGGTATAAGAAAAGCAAAAACAATTCTACATAAACCTATTTCCCCAATTTGCAAACTTGCTAAAGACAGCTGAAGAACAATGTCGCGAGAAACTTTAACCCTCAGTAAGATTTACGCAAGAAATGAAGCAAAGCACTTACCGTGTCTTGAGATTTATCTTTGACATCATAGACTGTTAGTTTTATTTTAGTCTCCTCATAGATTGGGTATTCCGGTGGGAATGTCACACCAGTCAAAAACAGTGGATCTCTTGTACCCTATGTAACATGAGTACAGTCAGTAAGGTAACAGCTGTGCAATGTGTAGTATGACACTATGGATGTACAGAAACTGTGGGCTCTTTAAAAGAAGTTAGCATTCTACAGCAGAGAGATATGAACAGCCAAGTATTTATCCCATCAATAAGAAAACTGGACAACTTTAAAATTTTGTCAGGAAAGTTTCAAAAAACTTTCTGGGAAGTTTTTTAACTGGAAGAGATATTAAGTGCTTCTGAAACAGAGCCTAACAACATGCCTTTAAATAGCTCAGCATGCAGGTATCAGTATCTGGAATACAACCTGTAATAAACAATCCCTTTCTTTCTCCCACAATACTTTCTGGAAGCACCCCAATTTCATATTAATTTAAATGAACTAAAGATTTAACACCCCCCCCCCCCAAACATATCTTCATTAACTCATAATAAAATGTCTATAGAAATGCTGTAGAAACTCCCTGTATTACATTAAGGATACCGATTTGTGAGGAGGGGATTACAATACCCCTCTTTAGGCAATAATGGAGTAAGATAACATTCCTGAGCTTCATAGCATTATGATTATATCTAAAAGCTGTACACAGAAGTAACTATATCATAGCTTCAGATATACAAACAATTAAATGAATCATGTAAAATGTTGTTTATAATTTCTTAATGTTTAATTATACTTAATTTCCAAAGATTACCAGGCAATATCCTTAAATTTTCTATTACGTAAAATAAAGGATTTTGCATGATAAATGTAATTTCTCTTGAAGGAAATAACTTTTCTGTGCCCCAGCCTTCCCCTCCCCCAAAGCTTGACTATGAAGCTGGGAACCTTGACACAACAAATTCAGGGATTTATTCAGATGTAGGACATTGTGTTAGGAAATGCATCAACTTTTATTTAAAAAAAAAAATAAAAAAATAAAAAAAATACATATATATATATATTCCATGTTCTGCACAACATCATTCCAGACAGTCTGCAATGAAACATCCTGATCAGATACAAGATATTTGAATTAAGCAGTTTCAGGATGGTTGATTGCTGAAACCATAACAATTTAATTAGTAGTTGGTTGAAACTGATCATACAAAGAGCTCATGAAATATTCTCATTGTATTTAACAATTTAAACAAGCCTTTGGCAAAATTGTGTGTGTGTTTACAATAAGACTTCCCCTGTTCTCAATGAGGCTCTCCAGTAAGTTAAGCAAGTTACACCTACATTGCCTGCTCACACTTAATTTTCTCTGTGAACGATTTTTGCTGTTTCTGAGACTGACGCTTACAGGGCAAAGTGAAGACTAGCAAAGCAGCCTCAGACAATTTTTGCTGTAATACATGATGCAAGTTACTAATTATTTTATATAAAGTCACAGACATTACGTACACACACTCTTTTGCCTAATTATAAATGCAAGCTAATATTTTTCAAACTGCAAAAGCATCAATTTTCTAATGGAAAAAATAGAACAAGAAACAGATAGGATAACAGATCTTCTAATATACCTATGTTGTTCTGTAATTTAAAAATACTTTATAAACTCACTGTACTCTTAATTTAGTTTTACTTTGCATTGCCGTGTCCTTTCAATGAGAGCAACTATTCTCCATTTCATTCTAGACCTATGTCTGGAGAACCGGAGTATTCCACTTGGAACAACAGAGCTTTCATGAAAAGCCAAGTTCATTTCTAACTGTTTATCCTGGTTAAAAGCCAAGAACTACAGAACACTCTTAGGTATGCTTTACTAACTGCCAGAGTGTGCTTGTCTTACCTAAGACTATGCACTAACTTGTTTTATTTCTCCTTCACTTTCTAAGGAAGAAATGAGCAATTCATTAATCAACATGTTAATTGAATAAGAAAGACTCTCACCTCCACGATTTCAGTGCTTGAATATCTCGTCAAAATGTGCTCTGCTGGATGTACCACTGAGACTTGTATAAACGTATTCAGCTTCCGATCACGGGTAGCAGCCACTAGATCCTTGCATGCTGGAGACAGAACAAAATAAAAATAAAATACTCAAAAGAAAACTCTGGGAAAATGCTGTCACAGGCACAGGACAAAGCAGACTTCACTCCGGCTCCAGATTAAATCTCTAGAGACAAGCCGATTTAACAGAGGAAGTCCCTTGGAAGTAACTTACAGAAATAGGAAGTCACATGCTGCAGAACTGAACAGAGATTTCGTTTCCACTAAAAATACTTGCAGCTTCTGCAAAGCTCCCTGCCAGAGGCTCATCAGCTCCGGTATATGGATGTGCATGCGCATACGCACACACTTACACACACTGCAATAGTAGGTAATTTTACATAAGCCCTCATTTAATTTGCCACAAAATCTCTCTTAGCAGCCTAACTTGATCATCTCTTGTCTGGCAATTTTCACAGTACATAACCATTTTAAACACATTCTAAACCAGTCAAATGCTATCAGTGATTAGGTTAGTTTATATAGTCTGATATTATATTGCAAACTTTTTAGTAGAACTAATCATTGAGTAAAAATCTACATACCTAAAATCAGACAGAAAAATAACCAATTCTTTTGTCAGTGACTGGCATATAAATGAGAAGAATAATTGTATTCTGGATGTACGACATCGTTATTAAAACTCATTCTACCTAATAAATACAGAGAAATTCAGTTCTTGTTTAATAATTCATTTTTATCCTGGGCTCACAGTCATGCAGGTGAACGAGTTCGCTCTTCAGACTAACACACCTCATGCCTTCTAACCAAAAGGGTGAAAGCACCAAAGAAAAAATGAAAAGGAGGAAGAAAGGAACAAATGCACCATTAGCTGCTCTGCAGAAGGGATGTGGACTAATGGGGCATGCATTGGCTCAAAAGCAAAACCCATCCACCCTTATTTTCTTCAATAGGGAATATGCAACAGTGAATACTGTGACAGGATCTACCCAGTGCTTTCTGCAGTGCATCAAACTACTCTGGGGTCTTAGAAACCCGAGGGAAGAAAAGTCCTATAGTTTCGGAGAGGCTAATTGTCAAGAAAGCGTTGGGGACATTTTCTAGGATTCACTGCCAACCGGGGGCTTCCTCAAGTGCAGCTGACCTTTAACATTTTAAAAGGTGAGTCAGATTATCCTCACAGCAAGCAAACCTGGTCTGATGAGAAGGCAAGGCAAGGCAAGCTCTGATACATACAAAAGGCCAACTCAGCTTGGTTTATACTTTTTTTTCCTTGGGCTTGGACCTGCTGCTTGAGGAAATAAAAGGAAAACTGGCTGAAGCTTTTTTACCATTCTTCTGTAACAGTTAAAAAGGAACAAGGAAACAATTAAATCTAACCGTCACAGAATATTTTGAAGTTTTTGCTTTATCCTGAATTGCCAATGAAATCTCTTGGTGGACAGTCTCAAACTGACCCTGTCATAATTTGGTGGTAAAAGAGGGATAAGAATAAAAAGGTTGTGCATGATGAAGTCTTTATGAAACAGCTGTTATAACAGCACCAGACTCGAATAGCAAGTTGCCAGCAATTCCTTGCTGCTAAGGCTCACCACATTACTGAAATTACTCTAAATAGTAGCACCACTTGATATGACCTGAAGAATTATATGAGTAGATTTAGTGAAAAGCAGTTGCAAAAGGACAAAACGTTGGCCAGATACTTACCTATTTAAACTATACCCTCTGTAAAGCTGACCACAGTTGCAATCTCAGATGACTGAAATTTCCAGATACAGCCACTTCCCCCTGCAAACCCTGGTCTTACATCACCACCAGTCCTTAAATGTTCCACTCAATAATCATGCTTTCAGAATACAGCACATTAAGGCACAATTTCAGACGAATGGCAAGAGAGCTCATGTTCACTACCAGAAGCTGGAACATAGACAGATATAGTCAAATTTTTCACACCACCACAAAGGAAGGCTAGCCAGCTCACAAGTCAATGGGCCTCCAAAGATGACAGGAATACACCAGAAGGGAAAACACAGAGAGAGACAGAAACTTAGGAAAACCAAAAATAAATCCCAAAAAAATCTCACCCATGACTCTGGCATGGACCCTACAGCTGAACTCTTGTAAAAAGTACTAGTGCATGAGGTAAATGGAGGTAAATGTCTCATAAATAATAGTTTGATTTACTTGTGGGATGTCTCAAATACATTAACTAGATGTGACTAGCAGCCAAGAGCACAGGCTATTCTCCTAATGATTTTTTTTTGTCAGTTTTTTAACAATATAGGAAGATTTGCACTAAGTGGTCACCACCTTGGTGATATCTGAGCATAGGAGACAATTAATTTCTGTGATAGTAGGGCAATTCAGTCATTAGATCATTTTCCTGTAAAAAAGCAGCTTAGCAACATGATCTTGAATTTCACTGGGTAGAGCTGACACAAAGATAATTCATCTGCATATCTGCAATGGGGAGGAGCAGCACAAAGTATCAGAGCTCTTTGGGAGATCCCTGTGCAGAAGGATAAATGAAATAAAATGAAATAGAAGTGTATTATATCCTGTTCACAGCCTGGCAAGTTCCACAGCTCCACTCTGCATTATTGCCCTTTGAACTATTTTAGGAGCAGTACCTCTCAAAATCTTAGGTCTTCTCAAACAGTCAACACTCTTTGGACAAAGTGAAACATTACATGGCTGTGAAAGTGAACTAACGGCTATATGTTATATATTTAAACACACCTGTTGGGCATTACTGACATACTGCTCAAAAAGAAACTGATGAAAATACAAACATGAAAGCATGTTAAGGCTATTTTCTTAACTGCAAATGTAACACAGTCAAAGCAGGTAACAACATCAATACACTTTCCATCATAACCTACACCCAAGCAGACCATATACATAGGCCGTGTTACTTTTCAATACTTCACTATGCTTGAATTAATTCTGGAAAAACTCGTCAACAAAACTCAGTGAACTGAAGTGACATCTTGTACTTACATGCCAAAAGTATATGAATCTACTCATTGTGACTGTTGACTCAGTGTGTAAAAGCCTGAGTCATCCATTCCCCTGGTGATCCCATCTCTGCTAAGCCTATCAGTGTACAATGAATGTTTAAGGACGAACTGCATTAGGAATAATTTATGCTTTTATATCAACAAAGAAAAAAGTTAAGATGGCTGGAAGGAAAAACTCATCTACGTATTAAGCAAAGAAAAAGAAAGAAAGAGAGACAGCAAAGTAATCACTATGTGTAGAGCAAGATGACAGGCTGCAAAGAAAAAGAATTGCTCTAGAATATATTTACAAATGCATATGTGTTTTGCAAAATTCTGTGGTCTACATAAAAAACTGTCTTACCATTTTAAATGTCTTAAAACAGGTAACATTTAATCAATGTTATCCTTCAACACATTTTCTAAAGAATAAAAGCAAAGAAATATTCTTATTTCATTTCCATTACTTTTGTTGTTCTACTGTTAAAACTGTAATATTATTCTTACATGAATCACAGTAAGCAAGTGCTCCTTCCCTATCAGTCATGCCTGTACATTGTCCTGTACATTCCAGTACCACTACGATGCGCACAAACCACGTCTGCTGTAAACACAAACCGCACAAGTAGAGGTTTGATTCTCACGTCCTGCCACATTGAATATTTCACTCTTCCCTATGCTGCACTAACATGCTGGCTGAGCTTTTCATCCTTCTGTGTCTGTGTGCGCGCACATAAAGACACCAGAAGAGAAAGACTGGCTACTGTTTCCTCAAAACTGGGCTATGCTGTAAACACAGTAGAATCTTGCTTCACCGTTTCAGTGACCGATTCATGGGATCAGGGAGAATTTTCTGAAAACATTACCTGAATGGAAGAACAAAGCACAGAGAGAAAGACTAAAAAATCCCAATGACTATATAACAATAAAAAGGGGGAAAACAAACAAAACAAAAAACCAAAACAGAAATAGTCTGGAAATTCATCATCTACCTTCCCTGAAACTATGACAATTGTGACCAGGCATTCAGCACTGCTCCAAGCACTAAGCCCGCTGGAGCCAAAAGAAATTAATCTGGCAGAGAAATGGGGAGATGCAGCATCTCCCAGAACTGAAAAAGATCCAATAGCTGGAACAAATGACATGGGCAGAGGGACTAAAAAACATCCTCAACCAGAGTTCACAGAGTTGTTTGGGAAGGAAGCCAAGGACTAGCCCAAAAATTGGGAAGCGGCATTGAAATTGTGATGTTCATTTTTGTTAGTGGGGGAAATTACAGCACGTTGGTGAATGCCTTCCCAGACTATGGATTCACACGATGCGTGTATTAGCCTACGTGGCAATCTGCGAGGTAGCTTTTTCTCTAAGCAGTGACAGAAACACCACTATTTCCCACAGCTTCATTCCTTCCCATTTCCCAAACCAAAACAGATTTCAAGGGACTGGCAACGGATAGGAATTAACCACCATAGCCCTGTTGCCTCCAGGGCACACTATTTTGTATGCTCTCAAAACAGAACAGAAAGTTAGTAGTATTTGAAGACATGGGACATTGAAGAAGCCTGTGTCTCTCACACACATATACATGTGAACATAATGTTCAATTTTTCTTTTTTTCATTTCATTGGCATTGCAGCAGCATTATTCTCCCAAAGCAACTTAGTTTATAAATAATAATGTACAGTCTGTCTTGATAGACTAATTAAGTGAGGTGCAGCTATTCCTCAGTGGGCAAAAGGACACATTAAATAAGAGAACACTACATTCAGACCCGTACTACATGCAGAACACTAAACAGTACACAGCTTGCTTTCCTTCACCCTGGGGGGGTGTTGAGGAGGGTAGGGAGGTGTAAGAGAAGAAAGCGCACATCACCGCTGCTTCTACCTCCGCTGAACACACAGTGCTAACCATACTTGCTCAAAAGAATTCCTTCTATCAGGCACAGATAAAGGCCTAGGAATAATCCAATTTCAGAACGTATAGGAAAGCTTTGGCCGTACTTTTTAATTAGGAGCATAAATGCAACTGCAAGAGGGATGAGAACAGGACAGCAATGT